ATGTCCCGCCTGGGGACTGGCCGCTGGAACCTCCTGCACATCCTCTCCCTCTCTTACTGTAAGTTGCAAGTGCGGGGAAAGATTAGAGAACAAATGGAATAGAGAAAAGGGACATATAGATAAAATGACATTTGGATAAAATAGAATAGAAAAAATGACATTTGGATAAAATAGAATAGATAAAATGACATTTGGATGAAATAGAATAGATAAAAATAAATAGACATTTGGATAAAATAGAATGGATAAAATGACATTTGGATAAAATAGAATAGATAAAATGACATTTGGATAAAATAGAATGGATAAAATGACATTTGGATAAAAGAGAATAAAATTAAAATTATTTGGATAAAACAGAATAGAGAAAAGAACATTTGGATAAAATAGAATAAAAATGACATTTGGATAAAATAGAATGGATAAAATGACATTTGGATAAAATAGAATGGATAAAATGATATTTGGATAAAAGAGAATAAATAAAAAGGCATTTGGATAAAATATAATAGAGAAAATGACATTTGGATAAAATATAATAAATAAAATTACATTTGGATAAAATAGAATAGATAAAATGACATTTGGATAAAATAGAATCGATAAAATGACATTTGGATAAAATAGAATAGAGAAAAGAACATTTGGATAAAACAGAATCGATAAAATGGCATTTGGATAAAATAGAATAGATAAAAGGACATTTGGATGAAATAGAATAGAGAAAATGACATTTGGACAGAATAGAATTGAGAAAAATGACATTTGGATAAAATAGGATAGATAAAATGACATTTGGATAAAATTGAATAGAGACATTTGGATAAAATAGAATAGAGAGATAAAATAGAATAGAGAAAAATTTGGATAAAATAGAATAGATAAATGAAATTGAAAATAAAATAGAGATAAAAGGATAAAATAGAATAGAAAATGACATTTGGACAATTTGGATAAATTTGGATAAAATAGAATAGAGAAAAGAACATTTGGATAAAATAGAATAGAGAAAAGAACATCTGAATAAAACAGAATAGATAAAAGGACATTTGGATAAAACAGAATAGAAAAATGGATAAAATAGAATAGAGAAAATGACATTTGGATAAAATAGAATAGAGAAAATGACATTTGGATAAAATAGAATAGAGAAAAGAACATTTGGATAAATAAGAATAGATAAATGACATTGGATATAGACATTTGGATAAAATAGAATAGAGAAAAACATTTGGATAAAACAGAATGGATAAAATGACATTTGGATCTTGCGCTTCGTTTGGATACGTATTTTGTGTCAAATCCGTTGGTCTCTGGTGTCTTTATCTTGTTGGTTTGCATTATTTACTTTATCATTTTTCTTCTTTTTAGAGCTTTCCATAAGAAAATATTCATGTTCATATATATATATATATATATATATATATATATATATATATATATATATATATATATATATTATATATGTATATATATATGTATATAGTATATATATATATATATATATATATATATATTATATATATATATATATATATATAATATATATATATATATATATATATATATATATATATATATATATATATATATATATATATATATATATATATATATATATATATATGTATGTATAAATACACACGCACACACACACACACACACACACACACACACACACACACACAACCATTATATGGCCTCGCCAAATATATAATATATATTTTATATATACATACATACATAACATAAAGCTACATATATAATAACATATATATATGACATCACAACATACATCAAACTACAACAAAATAGTAAACAATGATAATATTAATGATAATATATATATGTATAGCATATTATAAAAAAAATAAATATATACTTGATAAAAATACAGTCCTTCATAATATAATTATATATGATTCTATATATATAAACAGAAAACATTATATAATGTACATTATTATACTATATATGGCACTACACAACACACACCAACCAACACACACACACAACAAAACACACACACAACATCACCATATATATATATTAATCATATTATATATATATATAAATAATATATATATATATATATCGCGCCGCTGGGTGTGTATTGAGTGGCGTGTAGTGCGCTCTCATTCTATTAATCTACTGTGCTTGTTATGTTATGTATATATGAAATTGCATCGACTGTCTGTCTATATTCAATATATGTAAGATGATATAGAAGAGGGACGATACCTTATCTTGTACTGAACTTGCTTTACCCTCAATGTGTCTCAGTGTCACATACTGAAATATGAAAATTAAATTTCCATTATTTTTAGATGCGCTAATATTGACTAGTCATCATCCTCCCCCCCCCCCCTCCGCCTCTCCCCTTCCACAACCACCACCTCTGGTCCTCCCTCCCTCTTCTCGCTCTCGGACTCTCTCTGTCTCGGCCCTCATCGGTCCTCCTCCTCCTGCAATCCGTGCGCTCTGTCTCGCCTCGTTCTCTAGCGCCCACGCTTTCTCATTCTCCTCCTCTCCCTCACATACTTCCTCCGATCTCTGCTTGGCTTCCAGTCAAAGTGAGTGTGGAGCAAGCATGGTGTGACTATCTGTGGTACAAGTGACATCCACATACACCTCCCTGCCTCCCCCCTCTCATATATCACCACTGGGCGGCGTCTCGGGGGTTAGGGAGTGGGATAGAGTGGGTGGGTTGTTGGAGAAGTGTAGGGTCAGCGAGGTTGAGTGGAACGCTTCGGCCGTGCGTATGCTGTGCAAGCTCATGAGTGTTTGGCAGCGCCTCTATTCTGTGGGAGCACCTCTCTTCCAGGTGTAGTTTCTCTACATCGGGTGAGGTGTCGTGAGGAAGGCGCCGGCCACGAGGGGGTGGATAACGTAGAGTCAGAAGACGGAGAGTCCTCCTCGGTGGGTGCGGGGGGGAATGAGAGAGATGCGTTTTCATTTGCTTGCTTAGTATAATGGCAATATTATTATTTGTTATATATTCCGATATTATGAATACTTATCGAGTCAAACATTGTAGGTTATTGCTTACAGTATAAACAACACTCACGAGCTCGTGTGCTCTACCAACTCCGCTTACCACAATCTACACTATTGAACTTTCAATACATATATTATTAATTAATATTCGATATATCGACATACTGAATATAAACAAGCACAACACATCAGTCTATAGCATAAGCATACCGAACGCTAGGGACACGGAACGACACCGCAGTATCGAGTGTCACTTATACCTCAATCACTCTCAGTGAGACACTAACTAATAAACATCACGCATCATATAACTGCAACTATAACGTCTAATTACTATCGTTACTATGCTGTGATCGTGCTCTGACACGTCGAGCTATGATCGATACAGACTGCGTGATCGCTAGCTGCGACATCGATGCATCGAATGAACACAACACACACAACATCTCACACACACAATCCTCACACGCACACACACGCACATATAGATGATAAATAGATAAATAGTGGTGGTGTGTATGTAATACAACACGCTATAACGCTCACACATACACACCACACAGCAAATTAAATAATTAAATATGAATACAACTAACTCGATCAGTATATGTACGTTATAATATAATAATACAACCACACACTCACAAATGTGTCAGTTATACTATTGTTATTATATATAATTATATATATATTAATTAATAGGCTATTACTACTATTAATATATACCCATTATAATATATAATATATATATATTAATATTAATAGTATATGTATAATTAATATTTAATTATAATGTATATGTATTAAATATATACAATAATATGATAATATATTGATATATAGATTAATATGTGTAATATTATATGTAATTCTATTGCAACTCTATATATGTAAATAGTCATTAAGCAGGACCGACACAATATATAAATACTACGTAATCTCAACTAAATCTCATAGATAAATGTTGCGTCATATGTTGCGGATGTAAAAGTTTAAAACTGATATAGGATAGTGTGGTGTTTGTGGTGTGTGATGTGATTGATTGTTATTTGCTTTGTGTGTGTATCGTGTGTATTTTCGAGTATTGTGCGCTCGAACGATTACCGAGATACTCTTATCTTAAAACTATATATTATCTAGTTAGAACATTAAATAATATATATCTTATATTATGAATAACTCATTTTTTTAGAATAATGTGTATAAATTCTCACCTTACAGTGAGTAATTATTGTCACAAACTATAAATACGATTTATACCATTATTTAAAATCTCATATTAGGTATTAATTTGTGTACTATCTCCCATATTATGCGTTATTACAGCGGCACTCTGAAATGGTAATATACACAATTTATCACGATGTATACATATTAATTTAATAATTTTGTCCTAGTATAGTATTTTTAAATATATATATATATATATATATATATATATATATATATATATATAATAAGTGAAACATAATATTTTCTTATGGAAAGCTCTAAAAGAAGAAAAATGACTAAAGTTAAATGAATATGCTAAAACAGTATCGATCGCAACAAAGATAAAGAACACCAGAGTGACCTAATACGGATTTTGAACACATAATACGTTATCCAATTCAGCTCTCAAGCGCAAGATTCCACCACTGTCCATTTTATTCCTCTGTTTTATTCCAAATGTTTATCTTTATCATCTTATTCTATAATTTGATTCATACAAAATATGTCAATTTTATCTAATATATCTGTTTTATCCAGATATGTTCATTTATCCGATTCAATTTCTACTTCCAAATCGTCTCTCGTCCTCCTCATAATTCCTAGTTTTATCACATATAGTTATATTTTCTCCTATATTTCTCT